CTTTTTGGAGCCCTGAGATCTTGGCTTTATTTTGATGTTTTGATTGAATAATTATTTTAGGCCGTTTGTTGAAGAGCATTTAGTATTATTTGGATTGTTAACAATATCCTTCTTCGTAATCCTTTTTAGTTGTTTCTTTTCATTTCTCCGTGGAGCTTTGTATCTTTTAAGTATTGGTCTCATTATTTCAACAAAAATATGTGTTTCTGTTTCAAAAAAATCTTAGGGATACTTTTCATAATAAAAGAATAATACCCTAGGAATACAATATAAACAGGTCTACAAAATCTGCAGAAAAATTCAAATTAGTCACGAAAGGAAAGAAACTCTTCTGCACCTTCTCAATGAGATCAAGAACATCCTGATTATCAATAAATTCAATATAACTCCAGTTAATTTCTTCTTTTGTATATTCGTCTTGCTCCATCTTGAACACATGCTGTAAACAACATTGTTCAAGTTAAATTTCAAGATCCAGGAAAGTAAAGAAAAAAAGAGTACACAATTCAAGCTCCACCTGGTTGAAATGTTGCTGCAATTTCTCATTTGTCAGGTTAATACAAAATTGCTCAAAGCTGCATAGACCAATACGTATGTTGCTGCAATTTCTCATTTGTCAGGTTAATACAAAATTGCTCAAAGCTGCATAGACCAATACGTACAATTCCATTTAGATAAATTAGATAAAGTAAGGGCTCAAAACAATACGTACAATTTCATTCAAAACAATACGTACAATTTCATTTAGATAAATTAGATAAAATAAGGGCTCAAAAGAAAAGATACCTCAAAACAATACGTACAATTTCATTTAGATAAATTAGATAAAATAAGGGCTCAAAAGAAAAGATACCTCCAATCCTAATATATAAATAATATCAATATATTAAAGATCGCTAAAAATATATATTTACAAATAAAAAAATGTAGATAAAATTATTGATTTTATTTGAAAACGCAGAATGTTTTTGAAACAAAAAAAACCGAAACAAATCCTATAAAGAAAACGGAGTTGGGAGTATCACAATATTAAATGAAAAATAAAACAACTAGCACCAAATTCATTCTAGATGAAGCATTCCCAAAGCGAGTATTGTTCTTCCAATAATAAAACAACTAGCACCAAATTCATTCTAGATGAAGCATTCCCAAAGCGAGTATTGTTCTTCCAATACACTCTCGGGTATGTACTATTGCAACACACTTTTTAGTCACCCTACAATTTACCAGTTTGTTATTTCTGAAGGTTATTCTAATGATATTTGGATGAACAAAATCCCATAAAACAAGTTATTTGTTTCTTATTTCTGAAGGTTATTCTAATGATATTTGGATGAACAAAATCCCATAAAACAAGTTATTTGTTTCAACAACAATTTTTGACGGGGAGTAACACCGCTAATTGGGTGCAAAAGAGGGTTCCTTTTTCTCATTTTTCCATCTTTCCACTAATGGGTGGTCTACAGCACTTGGATTCTTCACTAACCTATACTGTTAAAATGCTAGAACAGATTTTAAAGGAGTCAGAATTAGTATGCAATAGCAAAGACAAAGCTCATGATTCTTTGGAGCAACACCTTTATAAAGCAGAGCCAAGATTACTTGGGATTGTGCCATCAATATTTTCATTTGGCCAACCATAGATCTTTTGATAACAAAGATACATAATTGGAGGAAGTTTCATCAATATTTTCATTTGGCCAACCATAGATCTTTTGATAACAAAGATACATAATTGGAGGAAGTTTCGGAGGTCATCAGATTTCTGGGTATACAATTAGTGTTACTCTATAGAGTTTTTCTTTTGTAAATACTTCTTTCTATTTATCAACGCTGGTTACATTTTCTCTTGGGGCAGAGGGGGTTTAAGCTCCTTCATACTTCTTTCTATTTATCAACGCTGGTTACATTTTCTCTTGGGGCAGAGGGGGTTTAAGCTCCTTCAGCCTTGCGTGGCTGGAAATGATTTCTTTCCCCTCACCTTTTCCTCTCTCAATGGAACAGTATGCTGTTTCCTACCAATCAAATTATTGATAGAAGAGAGAGAAAAAAATGTATGGTATTTCCCTCACAATGTATTGATTCTCGGAGGAAAACTCTTGCCCTAAGGAATACAAAGCTCTCAGCTGATTAGAGAGAGCTAGTAAACTCTCCCTTTTCTCTCTCAAGACAAAAACTACTAAATGAAAGCATAAACGAAAAATAGACACATGACCACAGGCCTAAAAGCACTCCCTCCAGTCCCTCACTTCCCTCATGCACCAGTGGTCCCTCCTCAAATTCTCAACCTCTAACTAACTTGTCAGAGGTATATTGGCTTTCTTGCCCCTCCTCTAATAGGCTTACCTAGTGTCTAACAACACTCCTGGCCTGCAAGAGAACCTTTATGAATGTATATTGGCTTTGAATTTTGAAACATGAAATAATGAATGTATGGTGGCCTCCTTTGGTAATGTAAGTTTTTAAGCCACAAGTCCTATTTTCTATCCAATTCGGTAAGGCCCAAAGTATTTGAGCGCCAACTTTTCATTCCTTCAATTGGAAATTGAAGCCTGCCTAAATGGTCTAAGTTTCAAGAAAACCCAATCACCAACATCCAGCATCATCTCTGGTTTCCTATCTGTGAATTTCTTCATTCTCAGCCTTCAAATGAGTCTTCAGCCGATCTAAAGTGGCATGCCTCTCCATTAATTGTTGATGTAGTGTTGCGTTAGCGTCTCAGCTTCCCCATAAGATAACAATAGCGGTGAGGGGTGTCCATACACAGCTTGGAAAGGGAATGATAGCAATGAAAATATGAAATGTGGTGCTGTACCAGAATACATAGCTACTGCTTTGGTCTTTTCCCACAAAAGCAACGAAAGTATGTCTCTAGGCATTTGTTCACGATTTTTGCCCATCAGATTCTGGAGGTAAGATGTACTTCTACTAAGTTTTCGTGCCTTGAATTCTGAACTCAGTCCAAAATGACTAACAAAATTCCTATCATGGTCAGCGCAATCCGATGAGGATACTCATGAAGTTTTACTCCTTCTTCAATGAAAGTCACGACTATTGACTTGGCAGTGAATGAATGTTTGATGGCAATGAAGTAGGCAGCTTTACTCAAACGAGCGACTACTACCGGGGTGACATTGGATCCTAATGAAGTTAGTATACTTCGATCAAATTCATCAAAAGGTCTTCCCACACCATCTTTGGAATTTCAAAATGCAGTAATGCCCTACTGGTGACACCTCAAGTGATTTGTTCTGCTGACAAATCAAGCATTCTCTAACATAGTTCTTGGTGTCTGCTTTCATCCTTTCCCAATAAAGCTCTTTGGTCAACCATTTATAGGTTTGTATAAGCCCTGAATGTCCATCTAACACAGAATCGAGAAAAGTGTGTAGTACTGTTGGGATGAGAGAGGAGGTCTTCGTTAGGTAACCTTCCTTAGTACAGCAATCACCCTTGTGAAATAGAAAGAGATTGTCTTCATCTGCCACTAGTTGTTGGAGGGTTCGACTGAGTTTGGGGTCAGCAGCTACTTCGCTTTTGATACCCTCCACATCAAGAAGTAAGGGGACAGATAATTGAGCCAAGTGAGCAATAGGTGGGACTCTGAACCGGGCATCAACTGCCTTATTCTCAAGGTCTAGTCTATATTGTACTTGGTCATGCTCATTGATCCAATCTTGGCTATAAATCTTGTCTTAAGGCCGCAGTGCCAACCTTTTTTCGTAGCATTAGTATTTACAGGTTCCCTCGCCAACACAATCGCAATGAGCTCCCTTTCATATATCGACTTGGCTTGTGCTATAGTGGACAAGGTATGCCAACACAATCGCAATGAGCTCCCTTTCATATATCGACTTGGCTTGTGCTATAGTGGACAAGGTATGGCTGAAGTAGGTTTGTCATACAACTGATTTTCCCTCAAGATATTGAAGACACCTCCCAATGGCGTATGTTTTCTTCATATCCTGTGCTGTAAATTAATATATCATCAAAGTGTACCAAGATAAACTTACGTAGGAATTTCTTCATATCCTGTGCTGTAAATTAATATATCATCAAAGTGTACCAAGATAAACTTACGTAGGAATGAGCGAAAGATCTTGCTCATCAATGCTTGAAATGTAGAAGGGGCGTCCGTAAGTCCAAATGGCATGACTAAGAACTCGTAATGTCCTCATGTATTCAAAATGCCATCTTTTCAATATCTTTCTCGTGGACATGAATTTGGTGATATTCTGATTTGAGGTCAATCTTCAAGTAAATGGACGATCCGTCCAAATCATCGAGGAGTTCTTCAACCATCAGGATTGGAAATTTGTCTTGCACCACGATGTTATTCAATGCACAGTAATCCACACAAACCTTCATCCTCCATCCTTTTTAATCACTAGCAGAACTGGGCTTGAATAGAGACTGACACTCGGCCTTAAGATTCTTGTTAACATCTCTTCTACTAGTTGTTTGATCTGAGTCTTCTGCACTTGAGGATATTGACAAGGCCTGACATTCATTGAAGGTGCTTTTTGAAGGTGTATACAATGATCAATTTCTCTTTGGGGTGGTAAGCCCTCAGGAGCTTGAAAAACATCTTCATATTCATTCAGGATTTGGAGAACTGACACAAAGACTTCGGCCATAAGTACCGACTCTGGGAGGATTGTCGTCACAAACATCATCTCCAAGGCTTTGCATTTTATGAGGAACCCCTCATCACTTTCCACCCAAAGATTTCATCATCTTCTTCAACGATACTGTCGATTTGGTTAGGCCTAGGCCCTCTTTCAACACACTTAGCAGCTTCTCTGCTTCAATGTTGATTGATAGGGTCGTCCAATCCATGCGTGTTTCTCCAAGGGTATGAAGCCATCGCATACCTAAAACTATGTTGACTTCCCCTATTCCAAAGGTAAGGAGCTTTCAACTATTGTCAATTCTTCAAAAGTGAGCACAATTGTCAATTCTCCAAAAGTGAGCACAACCCCTTCACACACTCCTTTTCCTTTCACCGCCATCCCTGTACCCATTAACTGGCCTTTGTCAAAGGTAAGTTCAATTTCTCAACCAAACGTTGAGGAATAAAATTATACATTTCTCCACAATCAATTAAGATCACTACTTCTTGATGATCGATCCGTCCTTTCATCTAAATGGTTCCGCCAACAAATTTTCCTCTGCTTCTAGAATTAAATTGTTCTCTTTCTACAATTTCAAGTTCCTCTCTGTTCGACCACCATAACCTAAATCTCCTTTGCTTTAAATTTGTGGCCAACATAATAATTTTCCTCGCAGCCGAAACAAAGACCCTTTTATCACCAAGATTGAAATTCTACATCAGAAAGTTTCTTCATCAGACCCTCTTTACGTGGCATGGCGGTGGGATTACTCGTCAGAGTGATCGTACGCATGGGGGTGTCATTTCCATCATCTTCTTGCCGACTTTTCCTCCATTCCAGTTTGATTTAGAGCAAGAACTTGGGCTTTTTCAACTAGAATGATAGGCTTCGAAGCTTCTAATCTGGCCACTTCATGATCCTCCACGCACAATGCCATTTTCATCATATTTGCTAACCCAATGCGCTACCAACACAACCTTAACAACTAGGTTGAGCAATCAACAACTCGGACGTGTAGCAGTATTCTATCATGGTGGTTTCTTACTTGAAGACAAGGAAACATCACAAAACACTACCCTGCTTCATCGTCGGAATCGTTCCAATAATTGCATCTGCAAATCATTCCATCCTTGAATGATTCCCATTCTTCCTTCCCACAATACCAATTTAAAGCTAATTCCTGAGAACCAAACTCAAGCATCTCAACCTTTCTTAACCTTACTCTTATCGCTGAAAACTTCCTCCACCTTCTCCGAATTAGGTTTTTTCTCCAGCTTTCTTAACCTTACTCTTATCGCTGAAAACTTCCTCCACCTTCTCCGAATTAGGTTTTTTCTCCAGCGTTACATTTGAATCCGCCCATTTCTAGTTCTGTCACGAGCTTTCTTCACCTCTGACCAGGGTCGACCATGATCAAATCCAGGCTAGCTCTAATACAAGCGTTGCAAATGGACTCTTGAACTCATCTCCTCGACCATGATCAAATCCAGGCTAGCTCTAATACAAGCGTTGCAAATGGACTCTTGAACTCATCTCCCTGGGACAGTCAGTCGCTCCACTGATCTTCATAAAACTGTGAGGGTATCTTCGATTCTGCACATCACTTTCTCTTATATTACTCCAACCTCAGCCTTCATATCATCCATCTCTTGATCTATTACATCGAGCCTTTCTTCAACCCACATCCGCACCATTTTTTTCCCAACCTCCCCAGATTATGATCTGATGCCAATTTGTAAGGTCTTTCCCTTGCAATGTATTGATACTTAGACGAAAACTCTTGCCTAAGGCAATAACAAACTCCCAGCCAATTAGAAAGGGCTGGTAAACTCTCCATTTCCTCTCACAAGGCAAAAACTACTAAATGAGAGCATGAAAGAAAATAGACACACTGTCACAAGCCTAAAAGCACTCCCTCCAGCCCCTCACTTTGTTCCCTCCTCAAATTCCCAACATTCCCTCTAACAAACGTGTCAGAGGTATATTGGCTTTCCAGCCCTTGGCTTCCTTGTTCCTCTGCATAATAGGGGGCCTAACCATATGATTCGCTAATGGAAGGTAAAATGAAAAGGTCTCGTGTTATATGTTGGCAACAAAAGATGCATGAAATTGCTAGGTGGGAGTTCATCCTCCACTAATGATGAAAGCAAAAGCATACCGGTTAAGCACCTGTTTGTCTTGAAACTCTCGAATCCATAGATATCCAGAACCCCGATTAAGTGTTTTGAATCACGATCTTGGCCAATTGAGTTATTAATCTTATCAACAATCCTGAGTCCATGAAGGAAATGTTTAAAAAGAGTCCATGATAGAAACAACAATGACAAATTTAAATTAAAAAGTAATTTAAGAATGAAACACAAAACCTACCAATCAAATAATCTTGAATATACGATTTTTGCCAAAGCATCCCTACTAAGAGTTGCAGATACTGTATCGAGACATTTAGTTATGGTTTCATCACGTGTAACTATCACACGAGTACACATTGAATCTTCAAGAGCCTTCTCATCACACCTGCGCCAAAAAAGAAAAAAAGTACCGATTACAAGGCTTCAACTATCTCAGACACCACTTCACTAAAAATAGGAGCAAGCTGATTACATGAATAGTTCTGCTGCCATTTTGAGATGGAACCGAGCTTTGTCATCCTTAGGTTCAGAGGAATCCGCATCCTTCCCCTTTGTAAATTCAACATTGCCCAAATGAAGTACTGCAGCTACCACTCGAAATATAGCATCCTAAAAATACAGACCTCAAATCAATTACTTGGGTAGGTTACATTCACTGGCAAGTCGAAGGTTCAAGAGAAAAGAATACCTGCTCAGCTGTACTTATTCCAACGACATCCATAGCTTCTCTAGTAGAAGTATATTCCTTGGATTCGTCCAGTCCATCAAGTTCATAGCAATTAGATTGATTAAGATAATGGAATGTTCTTGGATTCCCTAACTTATACTTTTCAACTTCCTGATCAATTAGATTGATTAAGATAATGGAATGTTCTTGGATTCCCTAACTTATACTTTTCAACTTCCTGATCAAAAAGAAAAAGGAAACAATTGATTTCAAGGAGGTGAAAAAAAAAACCCTCACTACATTGCAAGTGAGTTTACTTTCAACGAACAATAAAATTAAATGAACCGTTAGCGAAGGAAATGGACGTAAAACNCAATTAGATTGATTAAGATAATGGAATGTTCTTGGATTCCCTAACTTATACTTTTCAACTTCCTGATCAAAAAGAAAAAGGAAACAATTGATTTCAAGGAGGTGAAAAAAAAAACCCTCACTACATTGAAAAGTGAGTTTACTTTCAACGAACAATAAAATTAAATGAACCGTTAGCGAAGGAAATGGACGTAAAACAAGTGAGTTTACTTTCAACGAACAATAAAATTAAATGAACCGTTAGCGAAGGAAATGGACGTAAAACGTAGTTTAAACTCAACCACTACTCGTCAATTACTTTCATATATACCATACTAATTGCCTAAGATACATAACATGCCTCGGATTAGAACACAAGTACAGTTAACTACAATTGTAGAGATGGTAAAAGGAAAAGACCAATAAAGAAAGCATTTAAAGATGACGATTAAAAGAATACACAAAAAGAGGGAAAAACATATATGTGAATTTTTTTATTATAGAAGTACCAACTTTCATAAGAAAATGAAGAAACAAAATTCAAGGGGAGACCCACAAAGAGACGAGCCTCACCAATAAAAGGGAAGCATCCCGCAAGAGAGGCCCTAAAGAAAGCCACATTCAATACATCCTCCCACAAACTATCCCTTCTGAGGGACACTTACCTATTCCTTTCCAACCAGATTAACCACAAAACAACAAAGAAAGTAGCCTGACCTTTCCTATTTCTTTCCAACCAGAACCCTACCCTTCCCCCTCCCCTGAAAAGGGGGTCCAAAAAAATTCATATTCATGACGAGAAATTTACCTCTGTTGATGCACAAAGCATATAAAAGCAATGATAATTCCTCTCAGGATCAGACACTTGGCAAACACGGGAACGTTCTAATAAATAAGTTCTAATAGCAGCTCCAGAAATTCTCCAACTTCGGTCAAATTGGATCTCCACAAATTTACCAAACCGACTGCAGATACACAGTAATCAACTCAGAATCTTATTCCAGTAAAAAGAGCATATAAGAAAAAGCTTGGTGGTCAGAAAATGAAAGGAAAGAATTCCAAAAGTAGGTTGCCCACCTGGAATTATTGTTTCTAACAGTCTTTGCATTGCCAAATGCTTCTAGAACAGGGTTGGACTGCGCAAAGAAAATGTAATATAAAGATAAATTTGTCACCGACTTAATATCAAAAGTCAGGTGCTAAATTCTCAGGATGCGATTTGGAGGGGAAAACATTAGAGATAATAATACTATTAGGAAGAATTTAACTGTTAAAACAACGTAAGTTAATCATTATTGTAATTTAACCCAACAATAAGTAGGATATCCTATGCTTCTAGAACATAAGTTTAAATCCACTCATTTTGATTTCCTATTAATCAAAGGAGGGTATGAGCCTAAACGTAAAAGGCATCACAAATAATTGAATGATAAAATAGTTCTATCAAATGACTTCAGCCTTCAGGATTGATGAAAATTAACAAACCAGTAAGAAGTCCATACCTCTAGTACTTGCTGCTCTACAGAGCGTTCACCAGTTGCAGCCTTCCCTCCATCTCTCCCTCCAACATGGGCAAGATAGCGCATAAGCATCTTTGTACTCTCCGTTTTACCAGCTCCACTTTCCCCGCTAACTAAAATTGACTGGCTTATACCCTCATTAATCATCTGTCGTTTTACCAGCTCCACTTTCCCCGCTAACTAAAATTGACTGGCTTATACCCTCATTAATCATCTGTCTGCATTTTTGGTGATTTTTAAATTTGAATGAAAAAATGAAACATTTAATTATTCAAAAATGCATACATATAATGTGTGGGAATACCTATATGCAGAATTTGCAATGGCAAAGGGATGCGGGAAAAATGCATACATATAATGTGTGGGAATACCTATATGCAGAATTTGCAATGGCAAAGGGATGCGGGCTCAGCTCACCTAAATCCGCCCCTTTATATTGTTGCATTATGCCATTATCATATAAATGAGGAAGTCTTCGAAAAGGATTTACGGCTATTAGTATACCCCCAGTATAGGTCTGTGGAATTGCAAAGAAATTTTAAAACTAACCAGGTTAATACTCCAACTTAATCACAAAGTTGCAATATAACAGCTACAAGCCATTTATAGTGCCAACAACCGCACTTCTCAACCCTTTGCACGAAAGGGGACAGTTAGAGTATCAATAACAGAGACACCACAAAGCAACAGATCAAAAGCCCCCACCCCAGGGGAATGAACTTGCTAAGCTGGGGAGGAAATTGTAGTTACTCACATAAATTTCATTAACATCATAACGACATTTCAAGTTCTGTAGCAGTCCTGGCTCGTGTAAATAAGCTAGTTTTGTCATATCATCCACACCACATGATGGAAATTCAGGATCCTTTGGATAGGCATTTGATGATTTGGCCTCAACCTTTAGAAGAATGAAACATAACAGTTAGAAAGGGACACCGTTGTTTGTTTTTTATAAGCAAAGGAGCACAACAGATCACAAGTTAAGACACTATTTTAACCTATTGGCATTAATAATAAGACTGTTGTCCTAATTGTGTTGACAAGAAAAAAAAATGAAGCCAACAAACATCATGGTTACGACATTAGTCATCATGGATTTTAACAAAAGGAAATTGAAAATAACTTGTGACAAGTGTAGAAACTTTTTGAACAAAGCATCATCAAATAGTGCTACAAAACCTTTTTCAATCAATCAACACCTCGACATCAACCATTAAATAGTTCTACAAAAGCTTTATATATGTACAATAATGTAGAACAAATGGAATTCTGACCGAATGGTCAGCAGTATATAACAGTTTAACATAGCAAATCAAGTGTAACATCCTGCAAAGTATCACTTACAGTAGTTCCTGATGAACAGAGTACTCTGATATCTTGACCATTAACTGCCACTACTTCCCCATCTATCCAGGCTACCTCAGGATCCTCAATCCAAACAAGACACCCAACCGCTAGATTTACTTGACCAGCCTGTGGGACGAATATCAGGATCCTCAATCCAAACAAGACACCCAACCGCTAGATTTACTTGACCAGCCTGTGGGACGAATAAGAGGTTTAATGTACCGAATAAATAGCAGGGTCTTCCATTTAAGTTCCAACACAAGCATATAAAAAGACATAGCTTAAACATTCACATTTGTATGTCAACAGAAAGAGAAAATTCACATTAGACACAAAAAAAGACATAGCTTAAACATTCACAT